TTTATTAATTTTGTACTTAAAATATTCTAAAAGAAACATAACAATATTGTTTTATGTACTTTCACTTTTCACGTATAGTATAACTACTCTTTAAGATTAAGTACTGTGTATCTCAAAAACCAGAGCTAATAAAAATTTTTCATTGTTATTTTCGTTTTTATCACCTCAAAATTAGTAGAAATTGACTAATTTAGTGTAGGAAACATTCAAAAAATATTTTTTTGTTGTGTTGTATAGAAAATGATGCAGGTACTCTGAAGGATGAAGGTACTCTAACCTCACATTTCCTACTGGAGAACATGAAAATGAAAATCATTGGTATGTATCATGCATTTTATCCATTCATATAAAGACTCATATTCATTCATATTGAGACTGCAGCTGAATAGACTGTCTTTGGAATAATGCATACAGAACAGTTTGTCTTTCTTGAATTTCGAAACAGTCCTCCATGAATCTTCGAAGTTTTCCAAATTCGCAACTGCTGTGTAATTATTGAATCCAGAAAGACTTTCTTCTGATGCCACGCACATATAGATTTTCTTTGAGAATGCTGTCTAGTGTATGATATTCCATGAAGTTCGAAGAATATTTCAAACTATCCTTTTTTCCACGTATCGTCTTTGCTCAAGAAGAAGAATGATTTTGGCAAATTATCGATCTCAATGGCAATCTCTTTGGATTGGAATTGTTGCTCAACAGCAAATCTTTGGATATCAATCGATGAAAAACTTAGAGTTGATTTTCCTTCTCAACAATTTTGCTGAGTGGGAGGTGCTCAATGACAGTGTAGTGCACAATGATGCAATAGGCTTCAGTATTTTGGAGAAATCCTTCAGATGCCTCGATTTCAAGTTTCTTATCAACACTGGAACTCTCGATGCTTTTAACCTTTCTAGAACAATGGATAACAAAGAAAGATTTTATTGTGATGGCAGTGAAAGTGAGAAGGGGGTTATGTTGATTAGTAATTTTATAGCTGAGACCGAAATAAGGTAGTTGAAATAAGCTTCCGAGAAATTTCCCTTAGCAAAATTCAGATGCATATTTTTTTTGGCGTAATTGTCGCCATTTAAAGTCAACGTTATAGGTACTTATTGGTAAAATTTAAATGATTGAATATTCTTGGATCATGATTGGTTTTGGTTAATCATAATCTTTTTGGAAACATACAACCACATAGCGAAGGCTTTCGAGAAACGATGAAGTCTTGACAGCCCATATTTCATTCCAATAATTTTTCTAAAAAAAGGTTGGTTGAGTAACAGGATCAATTTTTTCTTTAAAAACCAATTGTTTGCAACAACCAAATTTCCGAGACAACACAAAACGACATGAAACCAACGAATGATTTTATCTGTGACTCTGTTACTTATCAAATTGAAATATGCAGTATTAAGACCTTCTAGTGTTAACACTATCACAATTGATGATATGTATCATTTCGCGCAAAAGTCTTTTGGATGAATATTGTTCAATATTCAGAGTAATTGGATGATCAGAATAAAAAAAGTGTCCATATTATTTTTCATGTTCAACGAGAGCTCTGGGGTTTTTATATTCAGTTTCTTAGAGTCTCCCATGTGTTCTTAAACTTGTATTCGAAGATACCGTCCGGTTTGACCAACATATCAGTTGTGACAGCTTCCACAGTTCAATTTTTACACCCTATTGGATTCTATTTCTTGTGGTGTTTTTGTTTTTTGTTTCGAGAAAAAAATGCTTTCAACTGTATTCAGTGAAAACTGATTTTCCTAGAGACCTTATTAGAAAAATAATTAAATAAAGAAGTTTCTCATCCCAAAATACATTGGTGAAACCCAAAGATAACAAAATTTTATTTGAAGAAAATGTATCT